TCCCTCAACAATGAATGCGGTATTTATAGGAGGGGTAAAGGGACAAATTTCGAGCCCCGCGGCATGGAAGGCACGTGGGGCTCATGCACAGGCCTAGACCGGGCCCGATGGACTCTAGACACGTGTCGCGATATTTTTGACATGAAAAGACTGCACAAAGGTCAGTCAAGCCTGGGCCGACCCTATATGGTCGGTTCACCCTCAGTCTCTAGGCGACCCAAAGGCTCACTTACATGTTGGACTGGGTAAGACTATGGTCGGGGAACCGAGGGACTAGGTCGGGTCGTAGCCCTTGAGGATAGTGGGTCCGTAACCGACCATCGGGTCTACTGTCTGGTAATAACCCTATCAAGCAGCCCCCCTAGTTGGGAGCCTGACGATGGTTTGGGAGGAAGGGTTCGGGTGTAACACCCCCGATTTTACCAAAATTTAAAAGATTAATTTAAAGAAAAATAATCTAAACAACCATTCAGATAAAGCGGAAGTAAAGACTAAGTACGGAGGTGCTATGCCACACCTATCTCACATATAAGTGCACAGGCTAAGTCTAAACCAAAACTTCAATAACAAGTCATAGGGAATAAGGCACACAGGCCATAAGTCTAAACAAGGGAAAACATAAAGAGCTACACTATCTATGGTCCACTAGCGCGCTCTCCAAAGGCTACTCAAAACCTGTAAAAACATAGGGATAACACCCGTCAGCGAAAGATGCTGGAAACCCACCAATACGCATTAAGTATCATAACATATAGATATAATCAAAACCATTTGAGACAGATGAATACAGTATATATCATTTTAAAACCAAGAGAGGGAACATCAAGAGACACAACATAACACTCTCAACAAAGACCAACATCAACAACAATCCACAAGTCAATAAGGACAACAAGCAACATACTCAACATTAGGCACGACCTATCATCATCAAGGTAGAGTTCATGATAGACATGCTCATAAGCAATGAATACAACAAATCACACAATGACAAGTATCAAGTTCCAACCTTATGCACTGTTTCAACCTTATGGCTACCACCGGCCTTATACCAGTTCCAACCATTACCTCCTAGTGCCACCCTGTACTTCTGAGTCCAACCTTATTCCGCCTGGGACAGTCGTCCCCCACCAATCTCATAGTATTACCACCGATCTCTCAGTACACGAGGGTACCATTAAATAACACAATATTACCACCGATCTTGTGAGCAAAGCTCAATAATATTATCATCAATCTCATTCATAGTCACACATATTCATTATCAAGAGAATTGAGGCTCATCAATAGCCCAATCAAGTATCAACAACGGGTACAACAAATGTACAAGATCACATCATAGAAATCAATCAAGATGTTTCAATGATAGATATGAAACAATACTCAACAACAACAATGGACTTCAATCCAATATCAACATGATTGGCAACACAAGTTGCTAATCCTCAAAAGGAATGGACAAACAACAAAGTGCATCATTTCTACACTTTAGAACAAACACCGTCCTCGATGTTCACCATGAATGCGTGGTGAAAATAAATGGATGGGTCAAGAACATGAGCATCCCTTTCCACACTTTTGAAGTAGGAATGGGACTTGGGGTTTCAAGACTTTAGAATGAATGGATGGGATGAATGAAAACATGAAAGGCACACACTCAAAAATCTCTTTTATCTTCTCTTTTTTTTTTCACACTTTAGAAACTAAAACCAGGGCCAACAAACATAATAGAAATCTCATGTTATGAGGGAAAGAAATTTCAAACTCCCATGGCGACTATTCCCTCCAATTGATCCAAGCATCAACCAAACTTTGCCCTGATCAAGGTTTTCAAAAGCCACAATCAATCAAGTTAGTAAAGCATATGTTCAAAAAAGTGAAAGAGTGTTAAGGAAGCTAAGTGGACTAACAATCCCTATATGTACAATCTTTTTTTTTTCTAAGAAACAATAAGAACAATAAATATAAAATGAAATGAAGCTAAAACTAACCAAGCATTCAAAATTAAAATAAATGTTTAAAAGTAAAGCATTCAAAAGTAAAGAGTACCAAAGCAACTAAAAAGCAAGTAAAGGAATGTAAAGAATAGTAAAAGCAGCAGCACCCCACGTACGAGGCACCTAATGTCCAAAGTGGGACAACATTCATCAACAAGCTAATGACACATCTCAACCCCAACAAAATAAAAAAATCACAAGGTAACCAAATCAATTAACCCTCCAAATGTAATTTTTTTCATGACATATAGCTCCTCCGTTGTGTGAAGGTGGGTGGAAATGGTGAGTAAATTCTTCCTAGAGCTCATCAATGACCTCCCTTTGAGATCTAATCTCCTCACCAAATGTCTCTCTTTGATTCCTCAATTATTCCATTGCTTCAAGTTGGAGTTGGTATTGGAATGCTTGCATTAACCCCTAACTATTCGCGGTGGCATAGTGTTGTGGAATGTCGGGGAATACGGGTGGTGGTGGCATTTTTTGTTCCTCTTCATCATCAAGTACACGAGTCATCTTTGCATGGTAAAGCTCCACTTGGGGAAGTGGTGCCATGGAAGCTATCCTCATTTCATGCCTTAGCTTGCCTTTCAAATCTAGGTCTTGGCAGTGCTTAGTAAGGATTAGCCCATTGGAAACATTTGTGGTGTCATCTTGACTTTGTGATGAGAACCGCTTTTTGCAAACCATGCCCATGTTAACCTTATTCCTCGTCCCCATGCTCCACAAGTACTAAAGATCATTGCAATACACCTTGTTCAAGTTTGATTTTCTCCCATTAAATGTTACCTCCAAGATCTTCCTCACCGCCTTCACATCATTCCGTGTAATATATTTGGCATTGGCATGTGCCGCATCCCAAACCACCAATTGTTGCTTATTCTCCTCCAATAGTCCGTGACTTCTCTATCAGTGTAAAAATCGGCCCTAAGCAACTTGTAAGCCGAGTCCCTTTGTTCCTCCACGATATGCCAATCCCATGAGCACTCCAAGCTCATCTACTGATATGTTGTATTGTCCCTCACTTTGTAGTCAAACTTTATGGTAGCCATGAACTCGTAGACAAGTGGGCCATAAATGTCCCCCCACCGTTCAAAAACGGGCTACCTTCTCCCGGAATCCATAAGAATCTAGTAATGGCAAGTCCAAGTAATATCATGCCATTACGCTTACGTGGAATCCTAGTTTATAATTTTTTTTTTAAAAAAAAAAATTATCCAAATATATAATTTGCTTTTCTTTTTATTTTTTTTTCTTTTTTAAGAAAACCATGGGTTATATCCAAGATAGCTGGTGTCTATTCATCATACAGACATACAGTCGTGGCTATCAATAAACAATCATAGTTGTCTAATTAACAAACAATAACAATTATTGTCAATGCCCATAGCTAACTATCCACCTTAGAAGTCCAAATCTAGACCTTTGTGACAAAGGCGTCTATGGATGGCTTTGCACTAGAGATTGTCAGGTTAACGAAGGTAGTTGTTGTCACCATCATCTTTGACTGTCATGATTGTCTCTATATTTAAAAAAAAAACAAAAAAAAAAAACAAAAAAAAAAAAACAAAAAAAAAAAAAAACAAACAAAATCCACGTAAATCTTTCCTGACAATTCCAAATTTAATCCTAGACTATAGTTATTAATTATTACGATTTATTTTATGTTATAATTCTCACGTTAATATTTTTACTATTATTATTAACATTTAATTATTTTAAGATATTATTTTTACCACTTATATTATTATTATTATTATTATTATTATTATATTATTATTATTATTATTATTATTATTATTATTATTATTATTATTATTATTATTATTAGTTTCTTTTCAAGTTTTGTTAGTATATAATGACCGTGAGGCAAACAATAACAATATAACCATAATTAAATATTCTTATATTGTATTTCGTGAGTCACAATAATAAAATAACAATAATTAAATATTCTTCAATTCTATATTCTTCTAGGATTTCTATTACCATCATTAATTATTTCCTAATTTACCAAAATTAAATAATTTGACCAATTATAATGGAAGATTATTAAATAACGCACTAGACAATTTTTTAATTAAAAATTTTAAAAATTCATTAATAAAACATAAGGTTCTCATAGTTTTTTCTTAGAAACTATTTAATAAAGCACTTTTTTTAGAAATTGGTGGGCCAAACCGCCTACGGCAGTTTGTGGTGGATAGATCTCGAAAAAATACGCAATTTCAAAAAATTATTTGTCCAAAACGGACAACCGAGTCAAAAATTATGCCTTGCCGAACTTTTGACACTTCACAACTTTAACCCAGAATTATTGTACGAATGGGAAAGTAGAAATCAATATATTTTATTGAGAAGAGAGATTTTTTAGAACCAAGTGGCTTGTAGTCCACTGGTATTGGGTTGCTCCCCTACGTGGGAGGTGTAAGGTTTGAACCCCAGTTGAGGCAATAGTGTGTATATGTAGGGTATCCCCTTATTTTATAATAATAAGAATAATAATAATAATAAAAAGAGAGATTTTTTAGAAATTGGGCGGGAAGTTAAAATTTCAGGATTTTGTTATTATTATATATAGTATAGATAAATGTGCAAAGGGGATTGTATTACATTATTTTATAATTTCAGAATAGAATTTTTACCCAGAATTATTGTACGAAGAAGTTAAAATTTCAGAATTTTGTTATTATATATAGTATAGATTAGATGTGCAAAGGGAATTGTATTACATTATTTTATAATTTTAGAATAGAATTTTTAACCCAGAATTATTGTACGAATGGGAAAGTAGAAATCAATATATTTTATTGGGAAGAGAGATTTTTTAAGAATTGGGCGGAAAGTTAAAATTTCAGGATTTCGTTGTTATATATAGACTATAGTATAGATTTATCAATAAAATTGCTAAATTAAATATTTACCAAAGTCACATATTATAAGATTTTTTTTCCGATATTCTTTATGGAATTAAATTATAAATCCATCTAAATTACATAGCTCGAGTCACTATTAAATATTATGATCTCGGTATTGAAGTAGCATAGTCTAAAGAGAGTACAAGATTTTCCCAAATGCCACAATAATACAATGGTGCAAAATGACCAAAGTACTGAAATATCAACTTTCAAGAGAATAATTGAATAAAAATCTGGGATCCTCCAGACGAAGGAAGATTGCATACTAATAATCTCTTCCTTGTGGGTATTATTATCCTCTACCAAAGGCCTGTCACATTCTAGCAATCCCTTATTAAAGCAGTAAATTGAAAAACTGAGAAACTAAAAGTATAGGGGCATCAAGCACCCCAAGCAAAATTTTGAGCTTGAGAAAGGAAAGCATGATAGATCAGTCTTCTCTGGCTATCCACTCCACATCCTTTCCTTCAATCTCATCAATACCCATACTGCATAAAATTTTCCAAAAGAGAGAAAAATTAGTTTAGAACATTGATTACAAAGCACAAACATGGATGAAAATAAATGCAGAACATTTCTTGAACCCTTTTGCTATAGATAAACATTAACAATCATAATTAGATGCGACGATTTGGATGGCCGTTTGGCTTTTAGCCAATTCAGTGGACCACTTTTACGCTACAGGCCAAAGGTTGAATTTTAATGCTCTCATAAAACGGGATAAAAATAGATTAAAAACAGGCCAAAATAAGTAGTTTTCACTAACCTAGTACAACTTATAATTAATTTGAACAAATTGAGAAACTAGCAAATTTTATCTTCTTGACATTCTGACCAACCCACAAACTGCCAATTTGCTGCTTATAACCATAACCAAAATACTATAATCAACATCAGATGGAGGCTATTAAGGAGTACCTTAGCAGGTTTTCAGCTAGATTGAGATCCCAGTTCAGTGTGTGTAATTACTAATTAGTATAACCACATCACTAATTATAACCCTTGCACCACCCCTCAGTGGGATGTGGGGTGGTGGTTGAGGTGGGCCATGCCCCCTTTCAATAGTTATATTGGATGGGTCTCTGCCACACCAAAGGACCAACACCAGCAAGACCCAGATTCTTTATTTATAATGTTCACAAAAGACGATGTTGATGGGACTCCTGCAGGCTAACCCCTTGTTGCATCGTTTTCAGCCAGGAAACTAAGAACTCACCAAAATAAATGTTAAAAATCTATTTCCATTTGTTTAATCTTCAAGTGCTAATGATTTAACAAATAAAGAATTGCAATGCTGAGGAAAGAAAATTTAATAGTCTGACAGGAAAAAAAATATTATAACACAGTAGACATTAAAATAAATCCACCTAGTGAAAGAAAGCCTGGGATCGGAACAAAAAACATCTCTATTTTTTAAAATCCTTTTCATTAAAGTGAAACAAACAAAAAAGAAGGGAGAAATGCTTACCATGGCAAGGCAGGATTTTGGAAGTAATCTTCAGAGTAGTGATCATTCAAGCGTTGCTGCAAACAGCTTTCATTTGCATTCAGCCAGGCTGGGAATTCCATGACTTCATCAAATGGATAGCACCCATAATCTTCAACATTTTTTATTTTCTCTTCGCCAGGGTCAACTTCCGTGGTTTTCAGGAACTTGAACCACCAAGCTGAAGTGGCCAAATTCAAGGTGTCATTCAACTCCATTTGGTGCTGCTCCCCTATTGACCTGATCTCTGCCATTTCCTTGTCATCGAGAGTGGGATGCAACCCGGAATTTACCATCTCAGCTTCCTCCATTGGATGCACTTCTTGCGAAGCAGATATACGTGGGCAAGAACTTGAAGATGAAGATGATGACGATGAAGAAGAAGAAGAAGAATAAATTGATGGATTGCTACTGCAAAAATAAGGCGTAGCATCCAAATTGTTGAAATCTTGGAAATTGAGATTCAAGCCTAACGGTTGGCTTGGGAGTGGGAAATTGAGGTTCTCTTGGATAAGTGATGGAGTAACAGATAAGTTCTGATAAGAATACTGATGCAGGGGATGAGAGGAGAAGGGTGAGTGGGAGTAGTTGTCCATGCAACTTGGAAAATCCTTGGCCGTGGCATTGGAATCATTATTACTTGAATTCCCCCCAGAATTGAGCTTCGGTTCTTGTTCTAATGATGATTGTGGTGAGGGCTGCAATGGCTGATTCTCTGTTTGTGATTGCTGTTGTTGTTGCTGCTGCTGCTGTTGCTTCATAGCTGCTCTATGAAACTTCAGAGCAGTCACAATTTCTCGCCGAGCCTCAGCCATGTTTAGAAGCCTCTCCTGATAAGGTCTGCTAGTATGAAGTCTTTTCCGGGCTTGTTTTTTACGTTGGGGTGGTTGGCATGGCGATGGCTGTGGCGATGGCTGCAACACTTGCGCCTGACTAGTAAAACCATCTCCAGCCAAATCACGGTCTGTAGAATTCGAGGGTTCTTTAGCTCTCGAAGAAGTCAGCTGTTTCACAAGGCTCCTAATATAGGCACCAGAAAGCGGGGGCTCTTCTGTTAGTTTGTCAAGCTTTTCAATTTCCAAACTTGCTTTATTTCCTTGCTTTGAACATCTTCCCCTCATCTTTTTTCCTCTCTTTTTGATGAAAATTTGGTTTATTTTAGGTGGAAATGAAAGTGGAAACCTGTAATTCACTTTCTGAGAGCCAAAGTACAATATGCAGATAGAGGCAGAGGTTGGGAAGGACCTGTGGCTATTATAAATAGGCTGGCATAAGTCTAGGGTTTTCAGTTCTTTGGAGTTTTCCCCAATTTAGAAAAATCACTAGGTTGTTCATTTTTTAGCCTTAAATGGGCATTTAAGAAGAAGTGCCGTAGCTGTTTTAGCCTTCTCTTGCAATCCAATTTGCAATTTTTGTTTCTTCCCTTTCTTTAGTCGAGGTCAATTGGTCAAATATATTACGCCAACATCGATTAAAACTACCAGGTCGACTCAACTCAATTAAGTCTTAATGTTAATCTAAACAAATACGAATGTTATTTCTCCGTTTTGGCTCATTTTTAAACCCCGATTTAGTTGTACCATGGTACTACCACTTCTTACATAAATGCATATCGTCAACCGGGATAAACCTCAACCATTTACCCAAGTTAAGGAGCAAGAAGACCTTAATGCTCAAGTTCACAACACTTTTCAAAGCATAAGTTCATTACCCTCTATGTTATGCAATTCTGCAAAATTATTTGATCTCGTCTTCCTTGAGAGACTGGTAAAAGTGAGATCAATTACACATCATCTATGCAAAACGTGACAAATTCCTAAATCCCCAAAGTTTCATGGGAAGAACCTGCAAACCTGCAGAATTGTTATTTTTTTTTTCTGGTCTAATTCACAACTTACACCCTTTACGAGTTTAAGGAGTCCTAATGTTACATGTGCCTTGCAGATTTAGCCATGACAGTTTGAATTGTTCAATATATTATACAAAAATAAATACTTAAGAAGGATCCCAATCCTTCAGAACAGCAATCTCCATCATCTACTAATTACAGAGTAATTACTAAGACGCCACTCTAAGCATAAGACTTTTTTAATAGTTTATCCAAGATTTTTTTTTCAAAGACTATGGTTTGTAATATAGGACCAGCCTCTAAAGATGTCAGAGGTAGGCTACAGAAACTGACAGTGGAATCTACATTAGTGTTACAGCCTACTTTCTATATAAACAAATTGTGAAAATAAAATGGCTAAGCGTACAAACTCGTAACAACAAGGTCACGGGTTCGAATCTCAGCCTTCTTGGTTTGAGTCGGTCAGCAATGGGCAACCTAAGCTGGTTAACCTCCTTGTGGTCCTTTGCCAACTAGGGTCACAAGGCGGGGTTTACCCAGTACAGACCTTCGGATAGTGACTGCGGGATTCCCTCATCACCCAAAAAAAGAAAATTGTGAAAATAAAATTAACTTCCATGCTTTTCAAATGATTGAAGATTATTAGTGTCTTTTTTTCGGAGCAGAGAACTTGGACATTTTGTAAAACCATTGCACATTTGCACAGCCTGTAAAAGACAGAAATGCTCCATACCTTCCTTTCTATAGTGTCACTTTTCCTTCCTTTATTGCTGTTGTCTTCCCAAATGGAGGCGGTTTAATTCCCAACACTAGTTGGCCCGCAAACGGCATGGCTCCTGAACCTTTTACAAGAATCCTGTACAAGCAAATGAAATCTGATTGTTATGGTTTTAACTTTTTAACATCAAGACAACAGTGAAATGCAAAAGTTGCGGTATTCACGAACGGCCTACCCTAAAAGTTGAGGGATGAAAGAAAGAACTGAATCCCGCCCATTTCAGATGTGTTTGTGGTGGAGACAAACTAGTGAAACTACATAACGCCTTCCTCTCCTCAAGAACTCAAAGCACGGCAAAGTGTTATGTTTCTTCTCTGGATATAAGCTTAATATTTTAATTAGAAGAAAGTTGAAACTGGAAAAGTGTGGATCAGCTTCAGTAGAGCACAAATATTTAATAGTATTTCAACTTACTACCTACCTGACAGTAATTGCTTGTCCAGAATTACAAACACTTTTTTTTTTTTACAAATCGACGCATAGCAATGTTGTGTACATGGGGAACAAACAAAGTAATTTGTCCCAGAACCAAGTATTGAAAATGTGTAAACAATTGATATGCCTATCTGGAGTAGTGAAGATAGAAACATCCAGACACACACGTATGCAATTCAATAATGTATTTCGAATGTAACATGTTACATCAAATATTATTAATCAGGTGTGATTATGCAAGTTCGTATTTAGGTCAGTCAATTCAATTTAAGTATACTTCATCAAGATATTCAATAAAACATTTATCAATAATAATGATGAAGTTGGAAGGAACAAAAAGGAAAAATTGCTGTTTTCTGCTCTAAATAAGGTAAGGAAAACAATGAAGGCCATTGCTATCTAGACCATATCTAACATGGAAATGTAAAATGAAGAGGGAGCACAGCCAAAAAGCTATTAATAATCCAACCGTTGACATAAGGTGCATAGGTAAAAGATGTCAGGCAACTAATTTTAGCCAATTGCATTAACTATATGATGGATATTTAGTGAAAGAAAATAGTGTCCCCCTTCTTGCAAAATGTAAAATCAGCAACGATTTTGTTCGTTCCCATATGTAAATCCCTTGTGGTGAAATCAAGAAAAAGGATTCATTATCTATAAACAAAAATGAAGTTACAAACCAAGAGTAATCATAATCCAAATCTCTTATATTTGCTAGTCTAACCCATTGGTCCGAACCCAGAACCCAAACAACGTGTGAACACAAAGTGGACCAAATAGGCTATAATACCATGTTATGGTCTGAACCCAAACAACGGGTGAACACAAAGTGGACCAAATAGGCTATAATACCATGTTATGGTCTGAACCCAAACAACGGGTGAACATAAAGTGGACCGAATAGGCTATAATACCATGTTATAATCTATAAGATTGGGCCAAAGTCACTCAACTAGGCTATAATGCACATGAGCCAAACTGCACTAAAAGACTGAATCTAATCAATTAACTAGTCTACATGGCCTTATAAACCCATATATTCTCTCTTATATTTTCAATGTGGGACTCTTAACAAAATCCAACCATCCGGAAATGCACAAATAGAAGTATTGATTACCATCCTAATCAGACATGGGAGTCTCATACAAAAACTTGTAAAATACAAATCATGTTTCTTTCTATACTCATAATTTGCTAGTAAGGGTTGATAACAATCCTATCCAATGCAATCATAAATGTTTTTGTGGTAGAGCTCTGCCTTGTGGTATAGATCACAGAGCACTTAACTACAAACAAATGAAGATGTTGTACCCATTTCATAAAGCTTATTTAATCCAATTATTGAGAATGTAAACTAAATCATCTACAGAACTGCTCTAATTTTGGAATAAGCAACGATTATGAATTATGTTCAATCATTATCAGGTACACCATCCCATAGACCTTGTAATAAGGCTACATAAGTTAGAAACTTTGTCACTCTAAATAGGAAATCACAGCTTCAATCTTTATTTTTCTCTCATAACCAAAAAAATTAATTAGATACACAATGATGCAGCTAATCTAGAAGTTGATGTGATAATTGATTATTCAAAATCTATAATCATAACCCATATATTACTCATAATAATAAGATTTGTGATCTGGAACCATTAATGATCCAAAATCTAACTTTTGAGCAAAAGGTACTCCAGATTTCAAGATTAATTCTGCAAGCTCCATATCAATGGGAGCTTGTGAGTGAAGGGCATGGCCCCCTTTTCAATTTCCAAACATAAAACCCATAAAAGTAGCAATTTTAGCTTTCCCTTTGAGTTTTCTCCTCCAATTATCAATTAGCTCAGCCCCAAAAAAGACAATAATGGTCACAAAATGTTTTTTTTATTAAAAACAAAGCAGGGGTGCCTGTGATGACAATTAAAGTCACCAAAACTTGCAGGAGTGAAGGATAAGAATGTGAATGCAAACACAGAGATAAACATGTAGAATAAAAAATAAAAAATAAAAAAAAAGGAATTGTTTAATGCCCAGAAAGAGATAAGAGAAATAATAGTAAAATAATGGAGGGGGGAAAGAGAAAATCACCAGTTTTGGATAACATGAAAAGGAAGAGAGGGTTGAGGAAACCTGTTTCCACCAATCCGCTTCTCTTGCGCACAGAGACTTGCATGCTTGCCGCAGAAATGCAAAAATCACTGCAACTTGCAATACCCTTCAATGACGAATAGCTTTCTTCCACCCAATTCCCTCCTCCTTTTTTCTCTCTCTTCCCTTCTTCTCTTTGGATTCCTTTCCCACCAAGATATCAATGAAATTTTTTCTTTACCTTCATCCACTCCAATGTTTTTTGTGAAAACTTATTGGAATTTACCAAAAGCTAGCCGTAATTGAGTTGAAAAAAATAATAAATTAAAAAATTAAAAAAGCTTTTTTCCTCCAAGAAAGTATAGTGTATACTCTATTTGCTCCATACGACCCTTGACGTTGGAATGAATCCCTATCATTCGATTATACCTTTGAAGTTATACTTCTCTTTCATTCAACCACACCTTCTAGGAATTAATTACTGAAATAGTTTATTAACTATAATGAAATTACCAATTTTGTAATTTAATCTTTGATTTTTTTTTTAACTAATTAAGTTCTTCAACTTTAAAAATCTTAACCAATTTGATCCTCCATTTGTTTTGTCGTTAGACATACGTTAACTCGGGTCCATCAACCAAGCCGAATAGTCCACCAACCCTGTTGGCCGACCTCTGTCTGAGCGAAGGGTCTCGACCCACTCGCCTACAAATGGTCCATCTACCTTGTTGGCCGACCTCTGCCTGCGCAAATGGTCTCGGCCACCTTGGGTTCAAGTCGAGAGACTTCGACCAATAACAACTAGTACCCTAGAAGTGATATGAGATCCGACCTCGCCTATCACCGAACGGAAGAGATTTTGGATCCAAAGTCGAATGGCTTCGACCTAAAACCGCTAACGCCCTAGGGGCGATACGAGGTCCGACCTTGCCTATCGCCGAATGGAAGAGCATTTGGGTCCAAAGTTAGATGACTTCGACCTGAAACCGTTATACCCTACGGGTGGTACGAGATCCGGCCTCACCTATCACCGAACGGACGAACTACGGGCTCAAGGTGTAGATATTTCGACCTAATGGCTAAGCACATTCATTAAAAAAAAAAAAAAAAAAAAAAAAAAGTAAGAAAGCAAACAAACAAACAAGTAAAAAAACAAAACAAAAAAAAAACACAAAAAAAAAACAAAAAAAAAACAAAAAAAAAAAAAAACAACTCGAGGACGTCGGGCTCGGCCGACTGCATTTTTGAAGGTTCGAGCCCGCATAGGAGTTTAGATTGCGCCTTATCAAAATTTGGACTCTAAACTCGGGGTTGGAATAATGCTAAAACTAAGACGAGCCTTGAGCTCGACCCGACCTCCTTAGGTCAAAATTCAAAACTAGGCCGAGCGAGCTCCGAGCTTGATCATACTTCCTTAGGTCAAGACTAGCCCGAGATCCGAGCTTGACCCGGCCTCCTTAGGTCAAAACTAGGCCGAGCTCCGAGCTCAACCCGACCTCCTTTGGTCAATGCTAGGCCGAGCTCAGAGCTCGGTCCGACCCACTTTGGTCTAAGGCCAAGTAGAGCACAAGCTCAACCAAGTTGAGCGTGAGGGACTTGAATCCAACCACCTTGAGGTGGCTATGTTTGAGGTTGGACCTCAAGCCTCAAAGGTCATCCGAAGCGAGGTCCAGGTCTTTGCATTTGAGGTTGGACCTCAAGCATTAGAGGTCAACCGAAGCGAGCTCCAAGTCTTTGTGTTTGAGGTTAGACCTCAAGCCTTAGAGCTCGTCTAGAGGGGAGCTCAAGCCTTTGCGTTTGTTTGTGGTTGGACCTCAAGCCTAAGAGCTCATCGAAGGTGATTTCCAACTCTTTACGTGTGTTTGAAGTTGGACCTCAAGCCTTAGAGCTCATCTCAAAGAACTCGAGTGAAAGAGCTCAAGTAGACGGGCTCATCTCAAGGTGCTCAAGTTAAGGAGTCCTAGTTAAAGAGTTCAAGCCGAAGAGCTCGTCCAGGTAGCTCAAGCTCGACGCAAGGAACTCAAGTCTAAAAACTCAACCCAACGAGCTCATGTTTAAGAGCTCATCATGAGGAGCTGGAGTTGAAGAGCTCATCAAGGGGCTCAAGTTGGGGAGGTTAAGTCAAGGAGCTCGACGCATGGAGCTCGAGTGGAAAGGCTCAGCACGTTGGGCCCAAGCCAAGGAGCTTGGGTTGGGGAGCAAGAGCTCAAGTCCTTGCACCCATGGAAGTTGGGATCTCAAACTTTGGAGCCCAACCCGAGAAAGGTATGGAGCTCGGGTCCTTGAAGTTGTTAAAGGTCGAATCCCAAACTTTGGAGCTCGCTCACGCAATACAAAGAGAGTTAAGCGCAAACTGTTGAAGGAAAATATGCGTATACACGTGTGACTTCAGTGCTGTGTTTTGGAGGAAATAGCACCCTGTTGTCCAAGATCGTGGAGTAGGAGTACTCTCTTTTGCTGATGACTTCTCATAGCTCAGAGAGTGGGGGATTGATGATGAAATAATTACAAACAGATCCAGAGCAGAATAATATAGAGCGGACCAAGCCTGAAGCACCGGACCCGGACCCAAGCCGAGGTCCATCAAGGCAGACCATAGCCGAGGTCCATCAAGGCAGCGGACCTCCCCAAGGTCGGCCAAGGCAGACCTTGTGACAACCCAAAAATATTTTTCCTAAATTATATTTTATAAATTCCAAAATATTTATTTTCACTCTTCCAAATTTTTTTCTAAAAACGGTGTATGAATTTAATATTTTAAATCGAGTTTTTAAAATCAATTCAACACCAATATTTAGCCTATTCTAAAAATCCTAAGTTTCGGATATATTTATGTACCAAGTTTTGACCCAAAAAGTCAATCTGAGTGAAACCTTTGAAACATGAACCAAATGTTTTAATTAAAACTATTTTATAGGGAATCCATTTTTTACCCCAAAGTTGTGCAAAATTATTTTAAGGCCTTAGTCTATGTTAAAGAATGAAACCAGATGATTTCTACAAGCCAAAGTGAATGCCTGAATTTTGAACAAGCTAAATTACTCTTCTACCCTCATTAACCAATGATATCTACCTAGAATTTTGGACCCCTATATAAGCATCACTATTACATCCATTTCTCCCGATCCCCTCTTTTGCCTCTCCACTCCAACTCTTAGAATTCTGCCAAGAAGAAGAAGGAATTACAGTAAGTTATTTTGCTTCCATTTCCTCCATCCATTTATCTCATCTCTTAGGATATCCATCTTTGTCTTCCAATCTCTGAGTTTTCCGTAAGCATTGTGTGTATCTATGTTTGTTTGAGGAGAATATGTGGTGATGGTGGTAGCATCTGAGAAAGAGAGAAAGGGGATCCACACAAGAGAAGGCAAAGCACAAGGTGTAAACCATGGATTCCCAAACTAAGATTTTTGCTCTGTAAAATGCTAGAAGTTTGAGTGTAGATGTTTAGAAATGTTAGAAAATATTTGTGGATGAGTTGTTTGTGTGTTGTTGATGTTTTATGATTGTTTGGTTGTGATCTAGAAGCATATTATGGATGCTCTATGTTGTTTTTGTAGAGAAGAAGGCTCTGGTACACATTGTCTGGTGCACCAGACAACCTCACGGTCCTAGCCAACGGACCTAGGGAAGATC